TTATCGGTAAAGAGGTCGATAGTAAATAAATAGGAGATTCGCTCGTTTTAAACAGACTCCAAATGATACTTTTTGACGCCAGAGTCAAGGACCCCTTCCCAGGATCGACTGAAACAGTTGTACAGACAGTACCGTAACACTTGCTTGCAGTGACAAACTGCCGAAACGGAAGCTAGTCTTTGTAGCCTGTTGGCTGAGACGTAAATGGTCGTAAATAAGCGGCCAAAACGAAAGAGGGGTTTTTACAGGAGGGAGGAGGCGTCTCTATTGTTTTCGCGTATTTGTCTGTGACCGAGTCATCATGACAGTGTGACGTCACATAGCAACGAGTCAGAGCTTCGCGTCGCTTGATCAGTTTACCGTGGAGAAGCCATCGAATTTAAACAAAGAAAGGGCTAATACAGGCTTTTGTTCAGCGTTGGTGAAACAATTTGTCGTAAGTGTGCAAGCTTTGTTGCTTATATTGTTTGTGTGTAAAAGCTGTGTTTGTTTTATCCGCACGTTTGTGTTAAATTCTACTCCAATCCACTTCGGGTTAGTGGAGTTGGCGCCATATTGAACTCGGAACTACACTTGGTGCCCGATTTGGGGAGTGGGGGATTGGGCCTTGCAATTTGTGAGCATCACAACATCACAATTTGCGTACTAAATTTAAAGACAAGAGAGAAGGTGTGAGTGTACCATAATCAATCTTCATAACGTTCGCAATGTCACAATGCCACATAGGAACATTCAAAGGATATCGCCCAGTATGAAATAACGGTTAATAATCTCTTAGGTTCCGGGGAGTTTTGGTAATCATTGATTCATTTATTTGCTGTTCACCGATTTCAATACTGGTAATTTGTTGTCTTCCGAGGGTGATTTATTTGGAATGCCGTGTTATTTTGCTTTGATTTCGCGTTATCAGGTTAAAACAAAAGAATTATTTAAGAGTCTTTTTTCATTGTTTATTTGATGATACATCACAGGATAGCCGATACCATAAATCACCGGCTTATTTCCGGTCGTCGCTTCTTCGGCTGAATTATTTGTGCGTGGCTTAGTGTGATAGTTTGTTGACACAAAAGAGTTAATGAAAACAGTTTGCTGTATTATTGTTTGCTGCTTCAGATACAATCAAGTGCTCAGGCCGTTTCCAAGCCAGTTCGAGGAACGTCCTCTTGATAATGACTAGCAAGAAGCGGGTTAGGAAATCGTTCTCAGTCGATGACCTCAGACAAGAGGTAGCCAACGAGAGCTCTTTCCAGCAACTCCTGGGCAATTTTATTGCCTTTCCAGCAGAGAATGCCCCTGAGTCGAATCCTAGAACTCTCGAGGCTTGGCTTGTTGCAAGGTATGGTCTCCTCGCTACCGTTGAAATGTTATCTTTCACTCGATCTGCGATGTCCTTGCCAGCAAATGAACAACAACGTTTGCTGGCGACATTTCATCCCCACGTTGATGCCAAACACTTCCATGTGCTGCATAGAGTTGCCAGGACTTCGCCGGCTGTGTTAAAGAGTTGTCAAACGTCTGTTCTAACTCCTCCTACATCCTCCTGCTTGCTTTGCCCTAATTCACCTCATCTTAGTGTACATCACAAGTGCAACGTAGTAGTGTACGGTTTTGGTGGGGCAAGGCAAGCAACAAAGATCTCCACAAGGTGTCAGCGTTGCCGCAACATATACAACTACACCTCCTTCGGAAACGCTGGGGATGGTTGGACTCTGTATCAGGAAGCCAGGGATTTGGTTGAGGCTAGCGACGCCTGCTTCGTCGAAAGACCTATGTTCGAGCTGCAGTGTTCGCTAGCGTAAGTTTATAGCTTACATATACTGTATTCTAGCTTGTTATTTTATCTGATTATTCCAGTCTAATGTGATGATTATTCCAGTTAGGCTCACCCATCGTTATTATTTTGTTCAAGAAAAAGGGAAAAGGGTCTGTTTTTTATCTTAAGCTTAGTTAATCTCTTGTTTGTCCTTTACGTCTCATATTTTCTCGTCTCTCTCGCCGTTTTTTCCCACTCCTTGACTTGTTTCCTAGCTTCCTCCGCTATCTGAACAACAGGCACAGGCTACAATATTTGTGGATGTATATATACATGAATTCATTCCAACTTGAATTAATGTGACATTTGTGAAGTGAGTAACTGCAAGGGGGTGTCATTAACGATATACATTATGTCCCGGGAAAATTACAGAGTAATGTATATTATATATAGGGAAAATTAATCTAGAGTAAGCCTCTGGAGAAATCTCAGCACAGGTACGCCCCCGAAAATTTTTTTAGGACAATCCTTTGCTTTGTAGGTTTAGTTTACAATTAATATTTTTTTGAGAACAGCCGTTTTACGAAAATCATTCGACAGTACATTCTCATACAAACACTGCAATTTCGCACACGTTTGCCTACTCGTCAAGATGTCGTCGAAAACCGTGACAAGGTCCATTCAAAACGCAAGATTTCTTCTTTTATTGAGTTGCGTTGTTTATTTTAATCGCTGAATCCTTTTGGTGTGAGTTATATTGATTTTGTGATAGCAGTTTTTCTACCAGATCGTGTGGGTATCCTCTGTCCAGCAATTGTACCGTATAAACTTGTGAACATTAGAATGGCTAGATTAATCTCGCTGATTGTTATATTATATCCTGCTGATACTATATTGTTTTTTCTTACCGCAGAAATCACTGCTGGGTGAGTTTTAGTGGTTGGTGTGTTGCATATAATGAGGCGTTTGGCCTACTTTCTAACCCCCATGGTAAGTAGTCAGTATTTAATGTTTTCATACCAGAAACTCATAAAGAAACATGTACCTCTCATATGTTTGCTTTGTCCAATTCTCATGATTTTTCGTATTGGTTGGCCTTTACTTAGAGAATTCATTTTCTTAAAAGATGTCTCTCAACAGTGTACTGCTAATACTTTTAACCACTTTTTAGTGCAGTATAGCTAATCCCTTATTGTCATCTGTATTAGAATTGTCGGAAAAACAAGTAGCAGCTACATTTTGGAACGGTGAGCTGGAAATTGAAGTTAGGGGAACAGGGCAGCTTAACTTTTATGGATTATTCCATAAAAACGAGGACAGGGAGGCAGTGATGGAGGAAATAGAAAGAAGAAGATCTCAGTCAGTTTATGTTCACAGTTCCGAGGATTGTTCACAAGACTGCAAAAAGAGGGGTATGTTTAAGTGAATTAGTTTCTTTAAATGGTGCATTATTAGTACGATGCTGTGCCTGTTATCTGGTGCTTATGATAACTTGTAATAAAATACTTCAGGGCAATGCAGAGTCTATTTATTACTTATCCACAGAAGATTTCTGTATATTTATTTTTTGCTAAACTGTTTCCTCATATAGTTGCATATTTTCCTTGTATGATTTGTTGACACACAAGTATTGTTGCTTACTGTATAACTGTAAAATATCATTTGAGACGTCACTTGTATATTATAATATTGTCACTAATTTTTAATATTTATTATTAAGATTTTAAATTTAACTTCTTCACGTTTCTTTTGTCAAAAACTGCTATTGTTGGGTTAATTTCTTTGACAATTGTATGCTTTTTAATAAAGTCGATTTGATTCATACAATTTGATGTCTTAAGTTTTTGGATTGAACAGGTAGTTTAATTTTGAATTTAATTTCCAATAAGGGCAGCTGTTGCTGCAGGTTTTTTAATAACTTAGTAATGTCAAATCAACAACTATTGACATGTATCCCTGCATGGGTATTTTATAATATTAACCCGTACATGTATACATTTGCCAAGGAATGCCATCAACACCCTTGAAAGTTCAATTAAATTTCTAATCATAGGTTGTGGTAGGCTCTGGGTGGCTGATGGGCTGTGGAAGATAATGTTCCCACATTGTGCAATGTCTACAAAGGTAAAAACTTGACATAGTTAATTTCTCTAGCCCTTATTCTGCAGTCACCTTCCTTAAGGGGATCTGCTTAATTCTCATACATGCATATTTGTCCATTGCTCCTAAAAGCAACTTTTGATTTTAAATACAGTCATCACTCGCATGAGCAATCACCTCCGAAACTTGAAATAGTGGTCATAAATAGAACTGTCTGCTTACAAGAATGAGCTGACAGAAGTGACTGCATGGAATAACAACAGAGAATGGTGTCTTACTATTGTTAAAAAGCTCATTAATAATTCATTACAAAAGAAATTAATGTTTTATGAGTGTCTTTACTTCTGTTGTAGACATGGCTAAATTTTACGTCCAATTTTTTTTGGACCATAACATCAGTGTCAGGGTGCAAAGAAAGTCAGTTTTACAGCTTGCCATTCGGGCAAGCTGTAACTAACATGTACTAGCCCGAAAGTCATTTCAACTAGCCTGAAAAAAAATTGATGAGCAGGATTGATTACAGTATTTCTGTTATTCGAATTCCTAAAAAAATATCACTTGCCCGTTGGGCAAGTTAAAAACAGAATTCACTAGCCCGATAGCAAAATCCACTAGCCCCGGGCAATCGGACACTACTTTCTTTGCACGCTGAGTGTGGAGTTTCATTAAAGTGTTCATTTATGTGAACAAATCTGTGAGTTGTTGCTTACGAGAGCTTAAAAACAAAAGAAAAGGTCAGTTGTGTAAACCCAAAAGTGGTTGTGGGCGCTTACAGGAGTGGTCGCTTACAAGAGCTTTTCATTACAAAGTTTAAGTCACACTTCAAACAGGGTTTCACGAAGGTGGTTGTAACTGGAGATGTTCCCTTACGACATTGGGTGCAAGGAGAGCTTCAACTGTATTGTGCTTTTTCCCATTCCAGAATATAACCATCACAATTTTGTGTTCAATATTTCCTGCTCCCAGTTTGATTGCAGCTCTTTTAGCTTAAAATAATTATTCTTTTTCCTTTCTGTCATTAATAATTAATAATTCATTAACAATTATTGGTTTATATTAATTTTGTTATCATGTTAAAGTAATATACCAGATTGTATTTTGCCGTCAATCTTATCTCTACAATTTCACATTCATGTTCTCTTTTTAGAATGTCGTAAGTGGCCTTCCACTGTTGAATTATCCAGATGTATGTACTGCCCAGCCCCAGCATGGGAAAGCATTTTGTCTGGCACATTGTCAGTTCATTGAAAGCAGTCATCCAGAAGTCCCCACAGATCTCCGTGGCTTTCTACAATACTGTGGTGTCCTAAGAACTCCACAGTTGTCTGCAGGTATATCACCCATAGTATTATTTCAAGTCCTATATTTCATTTGGGATGAAGGAAATGCTAACAGTTGGTTTTCTTGTAGGCAGGGAAATTCCAGTGATTTGTTAAACTGATTTCCACATTATCCATTTATTTCTTATTTTATGACCCTTTGCCAATTATTCTTAATTAGCAATTTAACTGACCAGGAAGCAGTGGTTCTGAAGTTGATAATTGTGTTACTGTCTGGAACCCTAGCCCAGATACAGTCTGGCCTCTACTTTACCTTTTTATTAATCTTTCCTAGATGATGTGGAGTCTGCTACCCGGGACACGAATGTAAGTGATGTTGAGAAATTGAAATCTGTGGTACAGCAATTGAGCAATGAAAGATCCTCAACTGTGGGAATCTCTGTCATTGAATCTCAAGGTATGTGTTGAATGCACATGTAGAGTACTATTCTTGACTTACAATGTTGGTTAGAGAGGTGTGATTGAGATACACATAGCCTGTTGTTCTACCTGCATTTTTTTTGGTATTTACCTCTTTAATGGCACTAGTATCTCTTTACTGTGTTAGAGTATATCTCATTGTTCTAGTTAACATAATTTGTTCTACAAGTATCTCAGGTAACATATAGACAAAGTGTGTCCAAATTTTTCAATAGTTGCTATAGTGTTGATGAATTTTAATCTTTACACAGATTGATAGCCCACAGATTTTATTGTATGCTTATATACTTATTCCTTGTAGAAAAGTTAGGTTGATAATAATTATTAATTTTTTCCTTAACATGTCCAGGAAATGCTAGTGTCCTTACGTTAAACGATGCAGAAATTAATACCATCCTGGATGATTGTGTGGAGACGCATCCAACTACCTGCAACAAGGATACAGGGGAAAAGCAGGCATTGCACAAGTGGTCTAGGGGTCATTTTTTTATTGTTCGAGGAAGTGGCATTATCGACAAGTGGAATCCATTATTCAGGTATTGTGATAGTAGATTAATTGTAGCTATTTCAAGTCTCTCGTAGGCTATAGGAAAAGTGCATTTTAACAAAGTACATAAATGTATTTTAAGTGAAATATTTGTTCAACTAAAGTTCACTTTATCCCCTTTTTATTGTTGACAAAGCTGATTGCCAAACTTTACAGTCCCATAGTGCAGAAATCGCACTTCCTGTTCAAATCTCAAAGTTTTGTTGACCAATAACATTTTCGTCAACCCCGCATAATGTACAATTATTAGCTAATCAATATTGATCACCAACCATTGGTTCAGATGATACTGATTAGTGGCCTAGTTGAATAAGCACATACACTCAAACAGCATGAATTTTCTATCCATGTAGGTCCATAATATTAGTGTCGTGGAAAACTGGTCTCAAACTAACCCAAGTAGAAATTGAATCAATTAGAGCAAGTTCCTCTCTTGTCCTCATCAACCTTTTCTGTATTTGAAATTATGTCAATAATCAGTAGCAATGACAAATTAATGCTTAGTTAATTTTGTTCCTTTCCTTGCAGATCTGAAAGTCCTTCTCAGGCTTTCCTGTTTTTGATTGAATGGATGCTGGTCACTTTCAAAGACATTCCTGAAAGTCAATGGGGTGACATATTCTTATCATACGACAACATGTGCCATGTTGATGGGATGAATGTTGCACGAAAGGCTCTTCCCTTCCAACCACCTTTTGACAACATGTGGTTAAAAGTAAACAAGATCATTGACTCCTTGCACATTAGTAACCATAAGTCGGGGGATTGTAAAGAGAAGTACAATCCAGCTAAGTTAAAGGACAAGCTACCTGATGGAAACACCATGGCAGGAGAACAGACATTTACCTGGCTTTCCAGGTTTAAAAAAATTTTATGTTCAATGCCCAAAATCCATCATATGTTCTTCCTGCATCGAATGGTTGTTCGTAGAAATACTTACACCGTGACCTGTTATAAAAATGGGAAAAAACCGGTACTCCCTAAGGCTAGGAAAGGCACATGAGTTTTGTTACGACCTTATTCCTAACATGTCTTTTTCCTTTGATGGGGGGGGGGGGGGGGGAAGGGGGGGGGTTGGGCACTGGAGATAAGAAACCACAGAGTGACACCGTGCAGCTCCGATGGACTGGGATGGGGATGTGGCTGTTGATGCGGGTTACGTATGGAAGAGGTGTGTTGGGCAGGGGGTGGGGGGGGGAAGGGGAGGGGGGGGGTTGGGCACAGGGGGTATGAGGTGGGAGAGAGAGAGGTCTTTGCCAGACATTTCGTCATTTTCGGTAAAATTGACAACAGTGACAGTTAAGGGGTTTCTCTTATTTCCAGAAATGTTTACAATACATGGCACTCCCAACATGTTTTGAAACACTACATACTTTACGGCTTTTTATTCTCTTAGGGTCTGTGAACAGGCTGGCCATTACCTCTCAGTGTGAAACAAGGGCTAAATCATTTTAAGAAAAGTTGAGAAAACTTATTGAACAAGCAAATTATTTTCCTTATACCAAGATGTTTTTTGTTATTTGTCGCGCTCCGCGCTACTTCTTGCGCGTTCACTTCACTTGTGGCCTTGCCAATCTTTTCGAAAAGAATGAAAGGAAAAATAAAACAACATCTGTATACAGGCGGGGTCATGGCACGCATATCAATTCCCTTTGGTTTGTTTTTGGTCGCCAGATTAGCCCTCTGTTGCAAAGGCATTTTGTTTGACATATTGTTGAGCTTCACGCTCTTTATTCTGGCTAAATCAGGTTTTTAAATTTCTCCAAAGTCCCCTCTGGATCTGAATGCAATTTTTTCTCTTATAAGATTGTTGTCTTTTCAGTCCATGCTGAATCTTCTTATTTTTCTGCAGTTTTTAGGCTGAAAATATTCTTGAATAATTTATAAAGTATAGGTTATATAACATGTCATTTTTTATTTGGTCATTTTCCAATTTTTGGTGTATCAATAATAGTGTACTTTTGTATTTTTTTTCTAGTTTTCTGTTTATACAAATATGCAAGTTGAAACATACATTCTTTGGTGTTTACAGAGTTTCAAAACACAAAATTATATCACCCTGTATACAGATGCCCCTTCCCCTCAGGAAAATGGGGATAGAGACTACCCTATTTTTTCAGAATGGAAAAGGGGTGGGAGGGGATCTTTGCATCGGCTAAATTGCCTGTGGTTTATTCTTAACGGATTAATTTTGCAAATGTCAGCCTTGATATTCCTAAAATATATATCCACATAAAAAAGAATGTACCAAAACGATTTTCTTTCATCCATGAATATGATGTTTTTCTTCAATTAAGTTGTATCTCACTAGACCCAGCTTGTTAGTTTTCTTTGTAAGATGTTACATTCCCAAAGATCATGATTTTAATTAAAGATACAAACTTAGAAGCATTCATTTCAGCTTCAACTGAAGCTACATCAACTATAGTTTGCATGTAAATGGTTTTCTTACATAGTTGGTTTCAGATGTTTACTAGCATACATATCTTTTTCTTCTTTTGTTATTATCCATCATTGAATGACTCGTGTTACATATCAAGGATAAAGTTGGGGTATGCAGTACACTGTAAATAATCAGAATTAGAACTTCAATAAAAATACTATTATTGATAACCCATTACACCAATGTCTGATTTGTATGTTCCTCTTTAAGTAATTATTTTCAAGAGTCAATGAATATTACTTTTTATTTTTCAACACCGTCTATATTTCCGTCTATATTTGAGTTCATTGTTACTGCCCTGTGAAGGTGAATTACTGAGACTCTGGCACTCATGATTAAAAAAAAAATACAATTATTACTGGGCCGCTTAAATAGGGCATGCCCATAGAGGTTTTTGCTTTAGTTATATTGCGGTCTCCTACGTAAAGAATCCATTGAAGGTCCTCTGTTCGATTTTTAACGCCCTGTTTACAGTGAGGGGGGGGGGGTTATCCTTCAACTTCAGGGTTTCCCTAGTTTGTAGTAATCCCTAGTAAGTGACTTATCCCTAGCAGGCTCTATGATAACCCAGCAACTGGATGACTCTACCTGCCTTGTAAGCGTTATGCTGGGGCTAACTCACCTACTTGGGACAACTTTCCTCCGTCGTGCATGACCAGTAAATCTGAAGGGAGTTCTATATTTTTTTAAGCATAATAATAGAACTCAGTTCAATTTAATAAGGTTTTTTTTGGCATATGATGATAATATTGTCCAGTTTAATTGTGAATTTAGTCTGTTCTCCATAGAGAGTTTCAATTTTCTTTCATATCATTTTAGTACAGTGCAATTACGTGTGACAAAACATGTCAGAGTTGGTAAAGTTTACCGAAGTGATATAGGTTAACCCTAATTTTGAAATTTTGCCATCTTTGAACCTCTTCTCTAACGAGCCTTTATTAACGAGACTGATTCTCCTCTACCTCCTACCAAGTCTCTCACTTCCGAAGGTAAACAAAAAATGAGAGTCCCTGGAAACGAAGTTGTTTGATTAACGAATATGAAGTTTGCATCCAACGCCTTATAAGACTCGGAAAGAAGAAAATAAGTGTTTCAGGTTTTTTATAGGTAAGCTAATGTAGTGCTATGACTGACAATTTGATGAAATGCGCAACAGGTTAGGGTAAAGTGAGAAAAGTTGGTGTCCCCCACGCAGAGTTCTCCCTAATCGATAAGTTTTCGTTGGTGTTACAGTTAGCTGGAACCACTTCTGGCTCAATTCACCAGTCTGCAAAATCAGCCATCCAAGTAATTGTACATTTATATTTTTATATAAAGTGCGACTCGAAAATGCTCAGGGTAGCCTGCATAAGTGTTGAGGTAACAATTCACTCAAACTTCGTACTATAGCCTGATTTTGAGGCCGGACAATCTGATGCAAGCTATAAAAAAATAAACTTTTATGACATTGCAATTTTATGCAATTTTATGACATTGCAATTGCGAGAAAAATGTTCCCTGCTTGGTTCTTTATGGCTGACTTTCATTAGCGTTAAGCGCTGAGTTGTTAACTCATTTTACGGATCATTATTATATATTAAAGCACTGTTTAGTCTATGCACTATTACGTATAGCTGGTTTGCATGTGACGTCATGGAGCCCATGTTGTGGTCAAGAACAAAAGCATTTCACTCCTCTTGGAACTAGAGTCTGTTTTCATGTCCATTGTCTTTGAAAAAATTCTATTGTATTGAACCCACATGGCCTCCTTGTCACTTGGTTGCAAACTGAGAATACAGCTACATGTATTTCGATAAAGGTTTTCGGACCCGCAAGGTGTTACTCAACAAACACGACCAGGAGACAATGTGCTGTGTGAATTACATTTTAATACTCTTTATATCTTTCAATATAAATATCACTTCAACCTCAAACATACAAATTCGACAATCATCTGTTCTTTATTTTGCATTGGTTCATGTTGTCTGGTTTAAAAAAAAACCTCACATCTGTTCCATGAAATTTTTAATCAACGAAAAGGTATGTTTTTTCTTGTTATGGAATTCTTTGTCTATCTTAGACAATTAGCATTCATGATTTACTTGAATTGCTTCCTGCATGTTGGACAATACCTGAAACGATTAATTTCTTTTATTAGTATGACACTTAAATTATTATATGGAAGTAGTTCTATTCAGTTATAGACAAGAAAGCTTGAAAACATTTCAGGCTTGTACGGGATTTCAACCCTTGACCTCTGCGATACCGGTAAAAAGCTCTTACCAGGCTTAATCTAGTTCATTGAGTTTTCAATGGAATGTTCTACCAAGCACATCTAATATTGCTTTTTTTCTTTAATAGTGAATGGTTTTATTTCCCATTGGCTGGTAGTGGAAAACATTTTGAGATTGATACAAAAAAAAAGGGACACATACCATGGATCTTCCTCAGGCACTTCTTTCAGCTTGAGACAAGTCAGGTGGAAATATCGATTGCCAGGACACTGAAAGTAAATAAAATTTTAAAACCTTCAGTTTCTGATAGGATATTATACATTTTTGGATTGTAAGGCTTAATTAAGGCTTCTTTAACTACATTCAGACATAATTCCAGAGTATTTTATCAGAAGTCTTGTGTGTGCACTCTATCATTCAGCTTTGTATCTCAATGACAAATTTGAAAGTTATAAAATGCTTCCAAGATTCTCATTTTTCTTACCTTTTGACCCGTTTTTCTCTTTTTGTTTTCACACTCCACCATCACTTCATCTGTCTCCTGTTGAAATCAAAAGCATTTCATTTTATTCACATTGGAGTTGAGATTACAGTTAACATTTAATTTATATTTGATCTGCTAGGCACAATATTAAATTATGGTGTGATTTAGATTACCTGTTTACATGTGCAGTAGTTATATCCAACACTTGACTTTTTTTTCGAATTATCTAAGGAACCCAAAAAAGGATCATGTCAGTCAGACAGGTTTGTTGTGTACTGTGATCCGACACTGAACATAAAACTATATAGAAGATATTAAAATACAGTCCAACCCAACTTTCTGGACACCCTATTGTACATAACAAACATTAAGCTTCAGTCCTGGCCAGAAGTCTATACATTGCGTTGAAAATTTAACCGCTTAATACAGACAACCCTTGATTGGGGCAGTGAACTGTTTTCTCTTTTGATGAACTAAGTGCTAAACATAGGCATATATGCTTGTTGTATGTCATAGAAATTTTTAACAAATGCCGACTGATGCACTGACTATCAGTGACTTTAAGTGTTTTTTTGATAGGAACTGTTGTGATTGAATTACCCCTATACTTTTGCCCCCAATCATCGTAGAAACCTTGTTAATAATACAGACAATGTTCAAGGTTTCATTGGCGTCTTTATTAACAGGGTGCTACTCAAGTAGTTTTGGTTCCTCTAAAACTTAGCATTTTATAAATTTTTTTTGCTTGGTCATTAATACTGTTGATTACCTTCTTGTTTCCTAGGCCTCTTATTGTCTTGTCTGTCCTCTTTTTTTGAGGTCTTCCTTCTTTTCCCTTGTACTACAGAGGAATGGACTGGTATTATTAGTTGTGCAGCTTTACATGCTTTACATGTCTATTAGTACATTTCATAAAAGTGATAAATGAGGTATTACTGGTTGGATGGATGTTCACTTCAATCTAACAGGTACTTGTCATGTATTATTTTGAGATGTACATGGCCATGGAAGGATATTTAGACACAGTATAATTTTTCCCTTACACTAACTTGACTTAAAGAATGTTTTCTCCTTTATGACAGTGTAAAGACTCAATAGTCAGATTTATTTGATGTGAATGTGATATGCGATTACTTCAATTATTAATGTTCGGGTGTTCCTAGTTCAGTTCATTGCACTTTTCGCCACACTGGCTACATTGTTTATAACATTAATTTTAATTCATTAGCAGCAACTTTTCTCTGTTTACCTTTCGTTTGCTTTGACTTGGTGAGTTGCCAATCACTTTCAAAATTAATTCCTCTGACCACTTTGGGAAATTGGTGTTCAGCTATAAATTGAACAAGGGATGTTACTCTCAGACCTTCTTAATGTCAGTATTGTCAAGTTCTCAGTAAATTACCACTACTTAAAGAAAATAAATAAATTTTTAAGATTCTTAAGAAACTTTTCATTATGACCTTCATCTTGAAATAAGGCAGAACAAAATAATATTATTATATAAAAATATAGGGAAATTTCTTTACCCTGGATTGTTTTTGTTGCATATCCTTTCTGGCCAGTCAAATAAGGTGTCTCAACACTAATGTCTTTTCCACTCAGTTGCTGGCCCTCGTGACCCCCCTCCAATTCAATCATCTTTTCAGTTAAAGTCTCTGTAAGAAGGAAGGAAGGAAGAAAGGAATCATGGATGAAAGGACAACAGACGTGCCCTCTTACAATATGTATTAAGTATATTTATATATAAGTACGCTCAGACGTCAGCATACAAAGGCACTACTAACAGCCATTCTCAGTCCATTTACATGCTTACTGTACCCACCCAACCCATGATGTGACTGATGTGTCAAGGTTGACCATGCCACTGGGGTCTATGCCCCCTACTATTTTCTTTTACGTTCCACAAGAGCCAGATAAGTGTAAGTGCTGTGCAGATGTCATTACAAAGGCAGTTATTAAAAGACCTTGAGTGTTGGTCCGATTGGAGTTCGAACCGGTGATCTCCCACTCAGCAGACATGCTTTACCCCAACTGAGCTAACCAGGTGGCAGTTGCACACTGCCTCCCAGACTTCCTGGATTGTAAACAAATTTGACATTCAACACACCTTTGTTCACACTGCTTTGACTTCTTGAGCTTGAACTTGTTAGGTTGTGGTCCCTAGGGCTGGAGACTTTTGTCTCGGTCAACTTCACTGACGAGTCTATGAAGGAAAATTCAGTTGACAATAACATGTTACACAGGCAAATACGCCAAGTTCATGAATGGACATAAAGCCCCAATAAATATTTCAAAACAAATTTGGTATTCAACACACCTTTGTTAACACTGCTTTGACTTCTTGAGCTTGAACTTGTTAAGTTGCAGTCCCTAGGGCTGGAGGCTTTTGTCTCGGTCAACTTCACTGACGAATCTATGAAGGAAAATTCAGTTGACAATAACATGTTACGCAGGTAGATAGGCCAAGTGCATGACTGGACATAAAGCTCCAATAAATGTTGTAAACAAATTTGACATTCAACACACCTTTGTTTACACTGCTTTGACTTCTTGAGTTAGGAGTTGTTAGGCTGTGGTCGCTAAGGCTGGAAGCCGCTGTCTCTATCACGTCTACCAAGCAATCTATGAATAACAACAGTAAGATTAACATGTTATGCAGGCAGATACACCAAGTTTGTGAGACATAAAGGCGCAATAAATATTGCAAACAAATTTGACATTCAACGCACCTTTGTTTACACTGCTTTGACTTCTTGAGCTTGAACTTGTTAAGTTGCAGTCCCTAGGGCTGGAGGCTTTTGTCTCGGTCAACTTCACTGAGGAATCTACGAAGGAAAATTCAGTTGACAATAACACCTAACGCAGGCAAATACACCAAGTTCATGACTGGACATAAAGCCCTAATAAATACTGTAAACAAATTTGACATTCCACACACCTTTATTTACACTGCTTTGACTTCTTGAGCTTGGACTTGTTAGGTTGCTGGAAGCTGCTGTCTCAGTCGCCTCTACTGATGAATCTATGACCAACAGCAGCAAAATTAACATGTTATGCAGGCTTATACATTAAGTTCATGAGTCATAAAGCCCTAATAAATAGTGTAAACAAATTTGACATTCAACACACCTTTGTTTACACTGCTTTGACTTCTTGAGCTTGGTTGACTTGCTAGGTTGCAGTCCCTAGGGCTGGAGTCTTTTGTCTCAGTCAACTTCAGTGAGGAATCTAGGTAGGAAAATTCAGATGAAGATAACATGTTACGCAGGCAGATACGCCAAGTTCATGACTGGACATAAAGCACTCATACATATTGTAAACAAATGTGACATTCAACATACCTTTGTTTACACTGCTTCCACTTCTTGAGCTTGGACTTGTTAGGCTGCAGTCCTTAGGGATGGAAGCTGCTGTCTCGGTCACCTCTACCAGGGAATCTATGAATAACAACAGTAACATTATTAAACATATTATGCACTAAGTGCGTGAGACATAATACCCCAATTCCACCTGACCTGCTCTCACTGGTAATGTGTTCTTCTGAGCAGCTTCCACTGGTGATGATTCCACCTCAACTGGTGTCATTGGTAACACTTCTTTCTGAGCCGTTCTAACTTGTGTCACTGCTGATGATTCCATCTGGACTGGTGTCACTGTGGATGTTTTCTTCTGACCTCCTCTCATTGGTGTCACTTCTGATGATTCCATCTGAAATGGTGTCACTTCCTTCTGAAGTGCTCTTACTGGTTTCACTTCTATCTGAACTGGTGTCACTGTTGTCACGTCCTTTTCACCTGGTGTCACTGGTGATTTTTCAGTGTGACTTTGTCTCAATGGTTCCTCCCCTTTACCAGTTTCTATCTGGTTGGTGGCCTCATCAGTCAATCCAAAATCTATTGACATTTGAATGTGGTACATTAGTTGTCTGTTGGTTAAACTTAAAATCTGCATAATCCAACTAATAATTGGTTTAATTTACAACTTTTACTTTGTTGGTGTTGCACTTGTATAATACCATCTAATATTACCCATCTACTGTGCTTATTCTTTTAATAATCATTCTGTATATTATGGCCAGATCATGATTTCAACATAAATTGAGAAACTAAAATGTAGATTGTTGTTAAATCAGTCTACAAAATTTATGTATTATGACATTTGAAATGTATAATGATATACTTACAAGCTTCAAAGATCAGCCAATCCTCGGGTGAAAAGGCAGTCTTCTTGATGAGGACACAGATTTTAAATTTTGTTTCAACGGCATTACACGACCTTGAAATGGTCATGCCATTTGCTGCAACATTGAAGACTTGCTTAGCCCTTTTCGTTGTCCCAATGTTGTGAATGTTGATATTGTTCTTGATCTGCTCAGCAGTTGGCGTTTCCACTCCTTTTTCTGTGAGCAGGTTAATTAGGGGGTTCAGCGCCACAGCAATCCCACTAAATTTTCTTTCCCCCCCTTCTGGTGTGGCCTGCTTAAATTGTACGTTTGGGTTGATGCAGGTTAGCAACTGCAATTCAAAAAAGGATACTAGTATGTCAGTGAAATACGCAGTTACCAGTTCATTGCATTAACACATAATCTTCATTAACTAGCTTTAAAAAAAAAGTGTCAGAACATGTATTCAATGGAGAAAAAGTTATTCACATACTCCAAACATTAATACACAAATTATAATCCGCATTTGTTGAAACTAAATGAAAATGGAAATTAATGTCGAGACATGTGTGACATTGACTTCTCTGTAATTTCACCATCGATCTATGGAGCCCATTTTCTTGTTCCCCTCACCTGGAGGTTTTGGTACATTCAGTGGACTGGTTAAATTAAGTTATATTAATTTGCATACAGCATTGTCTGGTGACTTACTTCTTAAAATTAAAATTGAGCTACATAACAGGTCCAGAAAAAAAAAACTCAGTTTGCACGTACTGATCCTCGAGTGAAATCCTCGCTGTTAATTGCATCCATAACGAGGGTGGTGATTATGGGCTCTCCATCTTCAGTGGTTGCATGTGAATGCTTCACTTGATACTTGTTTATTCCCAGGGGGTATACCACCTGGTGGAAGTATCTTCCAAGATCCTCATTGGAGCATAGTTTTTCATCACCCACGATTTCAATGATCTTAAGAAAAAAAAAATTTTAACAAAAATTTATAATAATGAAAAGAACAATTGACTAAGTTAATTGAGGAAACATAAATTGTTACTGCAATTTGCAGGTTTTTTTGATATAATACACCTCACTAGATTGATGATTTGACTCAACTGCTTGACTAAACATCATACATTAGCCAAATATTGAACATACCGGTATTAATTTTATTGTGTACCTTGCACCATCTATTTATTTTTTCTTTTCTTTTATTTGAAGTCCTCAATTTCTTTAATCCGACAACCAGTTAAGAAGGTTGTTGTTTTTTTTTTTTACTTTACCTCGCTTGCCATAGCTAGAAGGATTCCATAGTTTTCACAAATACGGTCATCAACATCCGGGTACAAGCCTGCTATTTCACGCTTTAGGCATTTCCCTTGTTCTATCACGTCAGCCACATTGATGGCCAGAAGTGGGCCCAATGCCATGGGTGCTTCATCGTATCGTGCCTTCCATGTGGCTTCAGCTTGCTGCTGCTGCTCTAGTCCATTTGGACTACGTGGTCCCACGACAAAGGGGATGAATGTTAGGCGACTGGCAACCCTGAATATGGAGAAAAAAAAAACTTTGTGTCAAAAATGTGCCTTCTATAATAGGTTGATTTCTTAGTGGATAAGTGTCTCTTTAAATTTTTATTTCAGATGCACATATATGCATGGGCAGCATGCAAACAAAGAACTGTCTGATAGCCCAGGGCAAGGTGATTTTATTATTGGGCTAGTGAGTTCTGTTCTTAACTTGCTCACAAGACGCCTGCTCAAATGAAACCTGATGATGAATAAAGAAGCTTTTAATTAAACAATTGTTAGCAAATTTGGGCTTAAATATAACATTAAACCATACCTATAGTCCTGAGCTAGGCCGTCGAGTGCCTCCCAATTCATGGTCACCATCGGACACGTCTTGGGTTCCATTTCTTTTGCACATGTACCGTCCTTGCCACCATCATAATATGCTAGAGCAATCTCCCCTAGCTGATGGGCATTCTTCAAGTCATCCAACACTGGAGGGAAGGATGATCGTGAGCAAAGGTGTGGGATGAACCGTTCCCTCGCAGAAGAAAAGAAGTGATGGTCATTGCCCATCAGCCGGAGAGCTACTCTAGCACTCTTTGTCTTTCCAAGGCGATGCTCACCGCAAATGACAGGAATGGGGCAGTGGTACCCCTCCCTTATGATTTGCTCATAATGCAGCCCAATGCAGAGCCCAGCTAAAGAAAAAAATGTTTTCATGAAGTTGCGTCACGATAATCCCAAAGTTCAATGAAATCTAAGTCAGAAGACTATTTTTGTTTTTTTCAGCCTCTTTTTTCATTTAGTAGAGGGTTGGGCTTTGGGAATAATCTCTATTTGGCAACTGACGAATTTGACAGATTTTATTTGAAAGATTTTTATAAAAAAAAGGCAGGTTTTTGTTAATTAAGATATCACGTGCAAGCATCCAGTTATTCTATTTATGAGACAAAAATTATATTGTTATTGTTATTGACCAATTTTCATCAGGCCCCAGTTGTTCAAACGTTGGATAGCACTATCCAATGGATAAATCCCTATCTGGTGGACAAGTATTAGGGAGACCAATCACATTATCCTCTGAATAGAGATTTATCCAGTGGATAGCACTATCAACCTTTCGAACAACAGTACTGGACCCAGATGTTTAAAAACAACAGGTTTCTGGTTTAAGTCTGATAAAGTTTACAAAATGGTAATTTAATTCTTACCCACTGCCACAAGTCCTCCCATGTAATTGTGGTGAATGGTGTCTTTCAAAGAAGAGAAGACACCATTCAATGCTTCTTTTTTGAATGGGAGCACCAACTCAGGAGGCTTGATCCTTGATGCCGTCAACTCTGGAATGTAGACATATTCCCTGGCATCTTCTGGTACCACTTCCCCAAGGTTGTTCACTTGCACTTCTCCCATCACCCATACCTTCAAATTATCTTTTGGTCTGCCAAGCGTGGTAGCAGCTTTGAAACTGTCGCAGCGGTTCTCATTTGCACAGTTTCTGTTAAAAAAAAAAAAAAACTTTGTCAATGGGAGCTGGACCTGTCTTGAATCATGACCGTACGGTAAGTGACTCTATCAAAACCAAATGAAAAGCTTGGTGTATGTGTAAAATAAAGTAACATATGCCAAACTGTGCAAGTGAAATTGGTTAGCCTTAACGTCCATATTAAATTGAAAGCTTTTAATCTCTAGAGCCACATGGGTTTTCCTTGAAAAAAAGGACTCAAGGGTGTAGACACAACTCAATATTCTGCTACTCACCGGAAGTAAGATGACATAATCATTTTCAGAAACATTCTAAATTCTCCACTTTCGAAGTTGCACATCAGTACTCCTGGGCCGAAAGAGGAATTAAGTTCCTCCAAGAACTTGTTCACTCCTCCGATAATTACTTTCTGTGCCCTGAAGAAACATTGCCTGGATATAATTAGGAAAAATACCAATTGTTAGTTAAGTATATATGATTTTAGAAAATAAACGTATCCCCCCACTCCCATGCAAAGGGAGGTTCTTATGACCTCTCTCCCCTCTAGAAATTCCAATTTAGCTTTAGAACTACATTGTTAAAACTCCCAGAATTTTCAATCGCTTCTTTGTAAGTGTTAACTATTAATCAAGTCAGTTTATGATGACTAGATAGACAAGCCAATTTCTACATGTTCTACATAAAATCCAAGTCAGAAGAGTGCTTTTTTGGCAAAATTGAATTTGACAGATTTTATCTTATTACTACTACTGAATAATTATGTTAACCGGAAAAAAATAAAACAAAATAAAAATAGCCTCAGTGGCGTGACGAAAGTTGTGATTTTTGGTCAACTTTGACAGCGTATTCCAGAAACTCTAGTTTAAATGCATACCAGAACATATATAACTATGACAGAGATCTGCCGAACCCCCTTCTTCCTACATTTTTTCCGTTCTGCCCCGTTTTCTCAGACACACCTTTAATGAGGAAGTTAGAAGTGAATCCAGAAATAATTTGTCAATAACTTTCAGTTGACAAAAATACAATAATAAAAAGTGTAACATACTTGTCTTTGCCAGTAATGGAGCACTTCACTAATGACAAAAAACCACTGTCCTGGGCTTCTGCTTCCACGTGTTTCAGAAGAGTTATTGAAAAACTGGCCTTCTCAAAATATTTAGGATTGCCTTTAGAATCTTGTCCCATAACTCCCATGGTTCTTTCATTAATGACAAATTCTGGTTGGGTCATGACTAGGCAGAATAATAACATAAATATTAAACCTTGAAACAATTAACTATTACATTATTGACAAGTGCAGTGCATGATCAGATAGGCTGTAAATTATATACAGTCTTCAATCTGGTTGTTTTTCTCCTGCTATTTCAGGGCCCCCAGAGTAGTTTTCAAAGTGAGGGGGTCGATCCCCCTCTTTTGAAGTGTAGTGGGGGAGGGGGGTGGGGGTTGTGCACTTTTAAAATGGTTTACCTAGTGCTGACTCGATATTTTTTAATACAACTAATCGATCATTTTTTCAATAACTTTACAAATGGCAAAGGGGCCAGTAACAAAAAAGGTTTGACCATGCACAGTAGCATCGTAATTAAGCGTATCAGATTTAAGGGCATGTGACTACGATTCAATGAAAATCACTCACACCACTTGCACTTTCCTTTTCTAAGGTCTTCACAATTGCACGCTCACAGAATCGCATTTTGAAACAAATTATTTCTCAGAATTCAATTTCGAAATACCAAGGGACAGCCTTCGTTAACACGCTTGAATAACTTCGCACGTACACGTAGGTCGAGGTCAAATGCAAACACATAGGTCGAGGTCAAAGCTATTAGATAAAGGGGCAGAAATCGAGCCTCACAAACCATATGATTTATGGACAGTTCGAGGCAAAGATGTCTGATATTAAGCACATGATATCAATTATTGAATCAATTCTACTGCGTTTGCATGCTGTCCGTGGACGAATTTTGGGCGCCAAATTTTGGCGGGAAGCTTGTCTCGTGTAATGCAAATGTTAAGTCCCTAAAAATTCATAGATCGCAGCCAAAATTAACATACAATAAGTGTGATATTTAACTCAAGGAGATCTAACCTTACCTGTTGAGATGAAAGGAATTCTTCCAGAAAGTGAGCTTCAATACCACACCACTCGTGGGCGCCAACAACGAACCTCTAAAACAATCTAAGCTTCGGCAGCGAAAGACCAGAACTGACCAAGTGCTCACACAACAACAACATTTCAATTCCCCTCCAAAATATTTTCTGAATAGTCATTGGCTGGTTCTGGCATGTGACTGAAATGCGATAACATCCCCACGACACGAACTTTGTCTTCAGGCAGGGGGCATCACGTTCTTTCCCCTGCTTTCTGCATTGCTTGGTGACTAATGAAATATGACATCCAGGGGGACGGACGCAGAAGAGCCCTGTGAAAGTACATACGACATCTCAGGGTACCACTGGGGTTAACTGCTTAACGTTTAAAGGCCTTTTAGCTGTCAACAGGCCACCCAGTGATTGTTTTCTGTGAAATATCTTTTCGGAAAAGCAAATGTTGCCTCTATTACTTTATTTCGCGCGAAATTTAGAGCGGGAGCAACAAAAAGTGGGAGGGGAGAGGAGGAAACGCTTGCCTGCAAACCCCACGATTCTGGAAAAAACTAAATTGACAGCTCGTCAAGATACTGATAACGACGGATTACCAGATCTGGTAACATTTACTTTGTTCCCTAAAACACGATGCAGGCCATTGCAAAAGTGGAATAAAAAAAAAAAAAGCTTTACGGTAAGACAAAACATACCTGGCCTGATTGACCTATAAATTGCTATTTGATCAACACTACCAGGGCCACACCAATGAGAAGCTGCGTTCATGGGCAAACATGGGCGGTTTGCGAGTAAGCGAATCCTTCTCTTCCCTCCCCCTTCCCCATCATTCCTTTTTTTTTTTTTTTTTTTAGGAAATCGCGCGGAAAGACCTGTTACGCGGGCTAATTTGAGGACGGTTACAAACCGACCGTTCCATTAATCGGCTCCTGCATTCATGTACTATTGCCGAATATTAAGTAATAAATTCACTAGGATTTTCTAAAGAGTTAATTTTTCACGCTAGGCTATTTTTCGTATAATAAGGACACCTAAGATTTTCAGAGTCAAGAATGTGATAAAGAGAGGAATCAGAAAAAGTCTTTTTTTAGTAGATACGCGGAATTGCATCTGAATTTTCCGAGAAAATAATACTTAAACCCTTCTAATTTCGAAAAGAGTCAAGTTTCCCTAGGACAGGGTCGTAACAATGTACTATTTAAAAATAATCTTTGTGAAAAAGCAAAAGCAGACACGGAGATGCGCAGTTCAAGGCTGGGGGGACATTAATTTATAACAGAAATGGCCGTTTTCACACTACAGACGGATTATTCGTGTGAGATGGGTTATCCGTTTGATAATTCGCGTCCGATAGGTAATACATCTGAAATTGAAATGGAAAGGGTTTTAATTTTGAATGAACAATTCGCCTGATTTTGACGGATATTTTGAAGATGGAGTATCCGTTATAGTACCGCCGCCCCCTCCTCTCAGAAAAAATCGGAGAAGGTTCGAAGGTTCGGAGAAGGTTCGACTGTGCACAGGCCAGTCTCAGACGGATAATCCATTTCTTGCTTTAGTTTGAAAACGGCCAATAACAAAATTCCGGTGTTCAGAGTTTTTAATGATAGCGAAGGACTGAACAGAAAGACTGTCTGCCGTTGCCTTGTCCATATGCCTCAGTATTCCGCGCGGCTAATGCGTTTCGGGTCACGTTGTCCCAGCGATATTTTTTCTCAGATTCACCACCGAAATGCCTTCGCGGAGACTGCGTGGGAAGACGCCGAACAGGGACTAGGCATGGCAATGTCTACCTTAGCGTCAGAGAAAAAACAGCAAATTGTTGTTTATCGGGCAATGTGTTTTACAAAAAGTGAAATCTGTGGGTGTGGTTTCACTAGTATTTCGAGGGCGTGACCTCCTGATCTCTCGCAAGAAACCAGATTTTTGCTATGGAAAAAATCACTTCCCCGAGAGAGCGGCGGAAATGGAGTCTAGGTCTAGGTCACAACTTAATGGCGCTCGTCCTAACGTGCGTACGGAGTCAAAGTAGCCGGGAAATAAATAACGCAACCATAAAAATTGTTGCAAAACTTGATTCCCGATCCCGTGAATTCAATCCGGGTTGGGTTAGCGGCGTATACTTTATAAAAAATTCCCCCCCCCCCCAAAAAAAAAAAATGGTCCTCTTTTTGATTTCTTTTACAATTCAGTAGTTACATCATTTACTGACTGGAGAATTAAGGCTGGTTCCAGTTTGTTCTTTAGAGTAATCATAATTTCTATCATAATACGTCCCACTTAAGAGCTCTTAGCACTTTTGGTTTAGTGATCTGTTCGTGCCGTTTACGGCTTTCCTTTAAAATGTGATCAATTCCGCATTTCGCCAACAACACAAGGAAAAGAAAGCACCAAGTTAGTCTAAGGGAAAAGGCGTTTGCTCCAATTGTACACGTCGCTTTATCTCAGTCGTCGCCTTAGTAGCACCGGTTGACCAAGTAAGGTCAGGTGTGGCACAAGTCATACATCACCATCTAACTATCCTTATACACGTTTCATACTGGTGTAGGTAAACTGAAGGTGTACGCACGCGGGAGAAAAGTTGTAGCGATGAAGGCTGCCCAACCTAGGGGGGTCTGCAGGCATACTCCCCCAGAAAAGTTTTAAATTTAGGGTCTCAGCAAGGCCATTTCCAGCGTTTTTTGCAGGACATTTTCAGTAAGATTCAGTGTTTGTGGGAAAAAAGAGCCCCGTGAAGACGTCAGAATTATGGAGTAATGAAAGGATAAAGTAAACACTAACACAAACACACCAATATTGCCAAAAATGTGCCTATTTAATGATAAAAAAAGCTTTTTCAGGAAATAAAAATATATTTTCTTTGAATTAGCTGTACATGTACACACGCGCGTATGTTCGTTTATGGATGATGCGCTCCTGAGATCTCTTTGAGCAAAGATTGGCTTGACCTGACGAGTAGTACCTACAGAATTCCACAAGAGCAGGATGCTTAGAGAATCCCTGTCGCTAATGTATGAACAACAACAAAATGCTAATATAACTTGCAAAAGGTGTAGCGACAGAAAATTTGAAGAGCCTATCATGGCTGCACTATTTTTGGTAATTTATTTCCAGACTATACAGGGACTGTGTTTCCTTGATTTTGGAAGATCCGACTTGCTAGCTTTTCATCACAGATCAGAGCTTCTCCCTGGCAGAATATTTGATCAGAGCCGCAAGGTACACTAACTAAGTTGTACTTAAAAGGGAAAACAATGGCTTCTTTAGATGACACCAAATCTAAAAAACGTCTATACCAACAGATAGCAAACACGATTAGTCTAATAATAAACAACTGAATATCTGACCCGAAGAACCACCACACCCCGCGGTTGGTGCGTGGTGTACCCATCATATAAGTGATTTCATATTATTTAATATGCAATGTAACTGTTCCCAGCTCTACACTACATAGAACTTCATGGCCCTATATAGCTCTACATAGTCCTACAAAGCCGTACATAGCACTTCATAGCCTAATATACCCCTTCTTAGCTCTACATAGCAATAATGGCCGTACATAGCCCTACATGGACATTGCCCTACATCGCCTAATATCCGTAATTAGGAAAATCCAACTAGTGGTATATTATCAATGCTGCGTTCTGATTGGTTGAGCTACTACTAGGCTATATGTTATAGCCCACTAGTAGCGAAAAGTGCCGGCAATTTGGTGGGCAAAATGATTAAAGTGTAGCTTTAGGTAGCTAAAGTTGTTTCGTCTCAATATTTTTGACCAACTAGTTGGATTTTACTAAAACAATTATTCTTCTCCCCCTCATGGCCTCTGAGTCAATAGCCAATTCGGCCTTCGGCCTCAAAGGGCCTTAAATAGCCCTAAATAAACCTGCATAGCCCTCCATAGCAATATATAGCCGCGCATAGGCGTACCTAGGCCCTACATTGCCGTGCATAGCCCTACGTAGCCCTTCATAGCCGTACATAACCGTGCATAGCCGTACAGAGCGGTACATCGCCATATACAGCCATTTATAGCCACGCTTAGCCGTACATAAGCTCTACATAGCCTTAAACAACCGTACCATGCCGTGTATAGCTATACATGGACGTACATAGCCGTACGTAGCTGTACATAAACTCTTCATAGCCTTAAATAGCCGCACATAGGCCTGCATAGCCGCCGCACATAGCCTAAACAACGCTACATAGCCGTGCATAGCCTTACATAAGCCCTAAGTAGCCTTTCATAGCCGTGCATAGCCCTGCATAGCCCTGCATAGCCGTACCATGCCGTTCATAGCCATGCATAGCCCTACATAGCCAGCCGTACATAACCGTACATAAACTCTACCTAGCCTTATACAGTCGTTCCATAGCGTGCACGGCCATGTATGTGCTGTCCATAAGCCCTACATAGCCCTGCATAGCTGTGCATCAGGGGCACCCAACGTCAATGTTCGGAAAATTTCTGTTCCGAAAACGATTAGAGATCTAGAAATTTCGGAACATTTGTTATAAAATTTCTTGCTTTCCTGCCTCTTCTGGGATTTTCGAACATCTAAAAAATGGTATAGTTGCCAATTTTTAACTGATTTTTACCCTAAAAAGATCACCTAGAATTTTCGGGAGCCTTTTTTCGGTTGAAAGTTTCGAAAAGGCAAGTTTTAATCCCTAAGATTTTCGGATCACTAAACTTTCAGCTAAGAAATCTGAACAGATAAAAATTTTTAGGGGATAAAAATATGCCTATATCTACCGTGTAAATACTAAAATACGTTGAACAATGCTATGCTTAAGTGTGTTTGAACTATATTCTCGTTGGGTTGCCCTGGTGCATAGCCGTACATAGCCGTGTATGGTCATGCATAGCCGTGCATAGCCCTACATAAGCCCCACATATCCTTACAAGGCCGTACCATGCCCTGCATAGCCATGTATGGCCGCACATAGCCTTGCATAGCCATTCATGGCCGTACATAGCCATGCATAGCCGTACATATATAAGCCCTACATAGCCCTACATAACCGTGCATAGCCGTGTAGAGCGCACATCGCCGTACATAGCCGTTCATAGCCACGCCTGGCCGTACATAAGCTCTACATGGCCCTACATAGCCTTAAACAACCGTGCCATGCCGTGCAGAGCCATGCATGGCCGTAGATAGCCGTACATAACCGTGCATAGCAGTGCAAAGCTGTGCATAGCCCAACATAGCCGAACAAAACCATGCATAGCCGTAAACCGCCGTATATAGCCATACAGAAAATCTACATAGCCTTACACAGCCGTACCATGCCGTGCATAGCCTTACATGGCCGTACATAGCCGCGCATTGCCGTACATAGCTGCGCATAGCCGTTCATAGCCGTGCATGGCCGTGCATAGCCGTGCATAGCCGCGCATGGCCTTACACAGCTGTGCATAGCCTCGCATAGCAGTACATAGCCGTACATAACCGCGCATTGCCGTACACAGCCGTGCATAGCCGCAAATAGAAGTACATAGTCGCGTATAGCCATCCATAGCCGTACATAGCCGCGCACAGCCATACATAGCTGTGGATAGCCATGCATAGCCGCGCATGGCCGTGCATAGCCAAGCATGGCCTTACAAAGCCGTGCACAGCCTCGTATAGCAGTACATAGCCGTACATAACCGCGCATAGCCGTTCATAGCCGTGCATAGCCGCACATAGACGTACATAGACGTACATAGCCGCGCATAGCCGTTCATAGCCGTACATAGCCGCGCACAGCCATACATAAATGTCAGATATAATGAGTCACCAACGTATGACAGAGATTCTTTTAACAGTCTACAAATGGTCACAAATCATAGGTTAAAAGAGTTATTGTTATGCATAAGTCAGGTATTAAATCATATAAAACAAATTTGTTGATGCGCCAGTTTCATAGGCCTTTTTGAACAAACGCGTAACAACAATAGAGAAACATTGTGTTCAGCATTTAATCTATTTTGTTTAAATTTGTTGTATCAATTAATACTAGCGATAGGACCGGAACAGCCATGGGCAACAGTGGGCAAAGGATCATGGAGCGAACTATTGAGGAGCTCAAAGACTGTTCACAGTCCCCTATTTTTCCGCAAGATAGTCGTTATATAGCGCGTTTCACCGTTAATTGCGGCCATCTTGATTTTCAGATGTACCGAGGGGGGCGGGCGTCGGGGATCATAGCGCTCGATCTCCACGATCTCACTGGAAAATAGGGGACTGTTAACAGTTTAAGGACTGATCTTGTAGTGAAACCCTTGTCACAATATATATAGGAATCGTTTAGTTACATAACTCATCCTATACTTTGTGATGCCTTGTGATACTTTGTGATGCCTTGAGATTCCTTGTGATACTCTGTGATACCTTGTGATACTTTGTGATACCTTGTGATACCTTGTGATGCCTTGTGATACTTTGTGATACTTTGTGATACCTTGTGATACTTTGTGATACCTTGTGATACCTTGTGATACTTTGTGATACTTTGTGATACTTTGTGATACTTTGTGATACTTTGTGATACCTTGTGATACTTTGTGATACTTTGTGATACCTTGTGATACTTTGTGATACTTTGTGATACCTTGTGATACTCTGTGATACTTTGTGATACTCTGTGATGCCTTGTGATGCCTTGTGATGCCTTGTGATACCTTGTGATACTTTGTGATACTCTGTGATACTTTGTGATACTTTGTGATACTCTGTGATACCTTGTGATGCTCTGTGATACCTTGTGATGCTCGGTGATACCCTGTGATACCTTGTGATACTCTGTGATACCTTGTGATACCTTGTGATACCTTGTGATACTCTGTGATACCTTGTGATACTCTGTGATACCTTGTGATACTCTGTGATACCTTGTGATACGCTGTGATACCTTGTGATACCCTGTGATACCTTGTGATACTCTGTGATACCTTGTGATACCCTGTGATACCTTGTGATACTCTGTGATACCTTGTGATACTCTGTGATACCTTGTGATACTCTGTGATACCTTGTGATACTCTGTGATACCTTGTGATACTCTGTGATACCTTGTGATACTCTGTGATACCTTGTGATACTCTGTGATACCTTGTGATACTCTGTGATACCTTGTGATACTCTGTGATACCTTGTGATACTCTGTGATACCTTGTGATACTCTGTGATACCTTGTGATACTCTGTGATACCTTGTGATACTCTGTGATACCTTGTGATACTCTGTGATACCTTGTGATACCCTGTGATACCTTGTGATACTCTGTGATACCTTGTGATACCCTGTGATACCTTGTGATACTCTGTGATACCTTGTGATACTCTGTGATACCTTGTGATACTCTGTGATACCTTGTGATACTCTGTGATACCTTGTGATACCTTGTGATACCTTGTGATACCTTGTGATACCTTGTGATACTCTGTGATACCTTGTGATACTCTGTGATACCTTGTGATACGCAGTGATACCTTGTGATACGCAGTGATACCTTGTGATACGCAGTGATACCTTGTGATACTCTGTGATACCTTGTGACGCTGCGTGATGCTGCGTGACGCTGCGTGTTTTAAAGCCTTGTACTGATACTAGAAGTCGTGAACAAAATTTGTGTCAGCGTACATGATAAGTGAATTGTAGAACACACTGGCATGATACTGGGGTGATGTTACTAAAAACTCAAGTGAAAGGGGAAATTAATTGTGTGAGCATGTGATGCGATCACAAACTTTGTGTCCTTAATCAGTTGTCCCCAAATCGTGCACTGTATAAATTCTTCGTTCGGCTAGATCTTTTGCACTAGTCGGTTCTCCTTTTGAGCTCTGTTCTCTGGAAAATTTGCTCCTAAGGAGAAATCTTTGGGAGAGAAATTTTGCATTTAATCTTTCTGTGGACCATCCAAAGACCGTATAAGTTTTCTAGTTGTGTTAGAGAAGCGTAAAATAACTTGAAAGAATCACTTTGCACGAATACAAAAGGGATCATTCACTGCAAAATCACAAGTTTGTAGAGACAATAGGTTTGTGGTCTTTCAATTCTTCGTTTATTTTTTCATCATGTCATAATTAGCCGCAATCAGGGCATTGTTTTTAATTGTTTCGATAGCTTCTACGAGAAAGAAAGTTGAAAACGCAAGGGAAGCAATAGTTCGTGGTTTCCTCCAAGCCCAGCCGATTATACCCACGGCATGTTGTAAGCCTACGGCGAAGAATAAAGGGATTCATATGGCGGGGATTTTCGTACAAATTCTTGCCATCTTCTTTTCTGTGTGGACAATTTGTGAGGCCTCAGTAGGCGATGATGTTACGGAATCTTGTGTGATACCAACCCTTTCTGGCAAGGGTTATGTGGCCTTCACTGGCAAAATAACGACTTTGTTTCACCAAACGCACGATCGAATCACAGTCTTGGTTCACGTGGCTAATGTGTATCGAAGGGACGCGAATCTAAACAGCTTTTCTGTTATAAATGCGGTGGAGAGAGCGGCCTCTTGCGGACATCAACATAAACAAGGTGATCTAAGACTCTGGGTTACAAAACGACACTCTAGTGGAATGTTGACAGCCGTCGCTTCGTTGCCAGTCACGATGCAAATGGTGGACAAGGTACTCAAAGCTCTACCAGGTAGGAGCGTTAAGTGAAATTGAAAAATAAACACATTACTGATATCTTAATATAAGCTACACATATACATACATGTATTGCATAAGACTCAAAATTAGCGGATCATTTGCGCCGATATGCTATCATATAAATCAAAATACTTGTTAGTTTGACCTCCAGACATGTCTTCTAAGATTTCGTCGTTTTCTCTAAAGTACAGTGAACGCGATTTTCGTTGCGGTTGAAATATGCTGCGAGCATTTCCGCAGTGAAGCCAAGAATATCGGTTTGTTTACGAAATTTTGCCGCATAGGCGACATCTAAGGGTATCTGTTTCACTCGGTATACACGTATAATCGCCGAAGTCACAAGATATACAAGCACTTATCACGCTTGTTTTCGAGCTTTAACGAGTGGCTTATTATCGGGTAGTAAAAAATCCAAGTATTTTTTTTTACGATAGCCGAGTAAGCGATTCTATTACGGCAATGTGAGATAAAATTTAGGTGAATAGAGATAAGCAAAAAACCTACATATAATGCCTGTAAAAACTGAAAGACGCATTTCCACGTAACAAAACGGAAATTCCACTTCTCCCTTTTGGCTAGTTTTTCATGGTAAAGAAATTCGAGACCACTAAGTAATCGAGGGCAAAAACGTTATGTGTCCTTAGATCACCAAAAAAGAAACCGATGGAGAGCCAGAAAGATCGGTATCTGAAAAAGAAAATATACCGGAAGTCTAGTTAATTGGCTTTTAATTATTGATTACGCAAACATAAAATTTGAATGATGATTCAATCATTATTGTAAAAAGAACGTCAGTGCAGTGCTTTTCTTACAAAAGACCCTGAAAATTAAGTTTTATATTTTATTGCCACAACTTGAGGATACGCTCTCGATAGTTTTCGGGTCCAAACAATGCCGCAAGAAAACTCAAAACTACTGCAAAATTACCAAGCGAAAGCTGCCTCGGACGGGGTATAATTAGAAAAATCACAAAACTGAATTTTTTTTCCATTCGGGAGCTCAATTTTATAAGCAATTTATAGGACAACGAAAGAGTTTCCTTTCAAGATAACTTCTTTTTAGCCAACTTCTTGTAGTTCAACGCCAAACATTTTGCCGGCATCTTGGCAAGCAATCAAAAAAGGATATTCAGATATTTAATCACTTTCATTCCATGATGATAGCTCGTGTAGACTTTGAGTCTTTGTGGACGAACTTCTATGACCCTTCAGCGCTACTTGTTTTTTTTGTTAATGTTTTTTTTTCAGTGATTTACAGTTTTTGCCCCACGCACTCAATTGAACTTTACCGGTGGCACTTCATCAGTCAGTACTTTGTAGAAAGTATGAGATCGAGAATTTACTATATCAAATGTAAACAGCCCATCTAAGCGCTAAATGACATCGAGCCAAATATATATCGCAACTGAATTAAGGTGATGTTACAACACAGCGTTACGACATTGTCGCAACATTTTTTCGAATAGCTGCAACATTATTCCAACATTGCAACTCTGTGTTCCGCTAAAAATCGTCGTTTGAAATCGTCTCGTGTAACATCACCTTTAGCCTGCGTGGTAGGCATTCGAAGGGGATAGCACGCTTCACTTTTCTGAAAAACGCCCGTCGCTTAAGCTGATTACAGATGTTTTGCTGCTGCATGGGATAACTACACCTCGCGTAACAGTTAAAGTCGAGTGTTTTCCACGCAAACACTGTAGAATCTAGTGAAAATCGTTGAAAACGGCACAGTCCTCTTATCGTGACAAATCCTAAACATTGGAGAAGTAGTTTTTAGCAGTTACGCTATTACATGTACGTTTATTACGCCAGTGCTTAGCTTTCGTGACATTCCTCTTTTTGGCTTGTTGTCGACGCTTCGATGCTTCCAAAGTGTAAATACACCCGGCTACAATAGCTCGTTATTTTGAATTTAATGCTGTTTTCTTTGAGACGATTAGCCTTCCAGTCCTATCATATCCCATTAATAAAGCTTTTCCATGGCCTGTATTTCTCGATTTCGTTCCAAATAGCGTTATTCCAAACGAGGGAGTGGCTGTTGTCAAAGTATTAGTGTTTAATCTCCCACTAATCTGCTTAAATAGCTGTAGTGATAAATACCCGCAAAAAACTTTAAGCCTTAAATGATCAATCTTTCAAATCACAAAGAGCGTTTTCCCCATTATTTTGCATCTACCGACGCTATGCTGGGTTTTTACAGAAAGTTCAAGGGTGTTTCTTTAAAGGTTGAAATGTACTTACCGGTTTCAATTTGCACTTCTTGTTACAGGAACGTTTAATATCCAATGGCCATTATTTCCTGCAGCAAAAAGTTTTTCGAGCAGTTTCTTAATTAAAACATTAATTTATTCGGCTCTTTTCTTTTTTAATGCAAGAATTGACCATCGTGGTGACAGTGAACACCGTTAGCTTATTGCCCGGACAATCGTGTTTGCTGACAGAGGTACTCATTCCTGGGTATTCTTTTTAACTGCATTTTTAAAGCGGGTACGTCTAAGCTAATCAAATGAAGACCCCCTCCCCTCTCCACGTTTTCGTAAGTTTAGCCATTTGTCATGATTATAGAGTCGGGCAACGCCGTTATATTCTACTTCTGGTCGTTTAAAAGATCTTGATAAAAACATTTTGGCTATGACCGGTTGAAAAAAGCGGAATAAGGCATTTTGACTGGAAATAGTCTTGGCTTCAGTGCAAAAAATTTTCTTGGGTGTTTCGTAAATGACCTGAAATAAGGGGATTACCAAAAGAAGTTTTCGGCATTCTTCAATGTAGGCCTTGATTATTTGATATGCTTACTTTGGTTTGCTTAGCTTTGCTTAAGCCAAATCCTCTTAGGGCGACGCCCACGGTGTGATATACTTAAACGACTTATTTTAAAAGCGCAATAAAATACGTGCTACCAGGAGGTTAGCCTGCTCGTAGCCTTATACTTGTGCGTGTTCAGGGAAAATTTTTACTCCCTCGCCATAATTTTCCCGAACTCGCACTACTGAACCTGCGAGCATGCAACTAAGAAAGGTACACAAAATAAATAAGTTGACAAAAAAAGATACAATTTTACTGGACTACAAACCGGCGGAAGCTGTTCAAAATCCGTTTAGTGGATAGAGTTTGAATTCGCCCAGCGTTCATTTTTAGCCTCTATTTTTTTCTGCTTTCTATTGCCCAGAAATGTTTCTCAAGCTTTTTGGTTCAATTATGGTGAGCTAAGCGAGCCGAGGAAGAACACACGAGCGAACCCTTCTTTCTGGCGTCTCCTTTCAACTAAATTAATGTATAACAATAATTAAATGATTTCAATGGTAGCAGATCCAAATTATGGCTCATCGTCTTCCATATTCCAAATCTAATTTGAATCCAGAAATGTTGATTTTAATGAGAAGGGAAAAACGTGATCTATTAACCGGAGAGAACCACTAATGTGGGAGAAGAATAAACAAAGTGTCCACCCATAAATTGCATTCGACCATGGGATTTGAATCCAGGCCACGTGGTTAGGATCCTTGTGCTCGCCGCCCCTTGGTACACTGAGTCCCGGTTTTAGTTCGAACGATGGCTAAGTTTAATAGGCCATTTGCACGATGCCGTCAGTTTATTAGTACTACCAGAATCCTTCAGGGTTTTGCTTTCTCGTGCAAATTTGGGTTATTTGTCATTTAAACCTCAATGGGATTAACAAATTTAAATATGAAAGAAAAAACGAAATGAATTCTGGTCCTAGTAGTAAAAAGACGTAAGCGTGCAAATGGTCTATTCGGCGGGTTTAAGCAATATACCAGTAATGTTAACCCAAGCTGACAGTCCAAAATGGTCCACAAGGAGGTACATGTAAAAGCAATCAGGGGTTTGAATTTTATCCCTGTATTAAAGCTAACCGGCTTTTAAGCGAGTGTGTCCGGGTTCAAAGGTTCTTCTTCACAGTGTAATAGAGTGTCCAACTACTTTAAGTTAATTTAAGTTTAAAATGTAAGCTTACTAACTGGAACAAATGCTCCAGGTAATGCTATAAGTAACCTTGCCTC